AAAATTGCCGAAGGACCTTGCGAAGGTTCATTTTCGAGTTGAATTCGTGTGTCCATTTTGTAAGGCCAGCGTGAGGGCATCTTGTCAAATCGTGTCATCTTCGTCTTAACTTCCTGTGATCATCAGTGCCATCGGGCATTTTTCGCCTCACAAAGACAATACGAAGGAAACAAGAAGCTGCCCGATTGTCTTAGGAAGGCAACACGACTACGTGAAGCCCTCGCAATGCCGTCGTGTAGCCATCGTATTACAGTACGATGACATCGAGAGGGGACCACGGTGTGCAATGTCTTATTTAGGACAGTTTGAAACGCGAGGGTCGTGGTTGGCTCGTGCACGGTCCGTGATCGGCCCGTGCAAGGTTCGTGATGAAGAGCCGGCCCCCAGTCTGACTTGATACCGCCCCGTGATAAATAAATGCAATTATTGTGAAGCCAGCTGCAATGGATCATTGATCCACCAGGGGGTGCAGTGGGGTTCCACACTGGAGCTCATGTGAAATCAACTTCGATACAGTAAGCTGGATGTACAGTATGTCTGGTACTAATGTATAGCGGATCTTTGTTAAGATCCATATGTCACGGATAGGATCATAGTCTGTGCTAAATAAGACATGTAATCATTTACAAAACATCACCATGTTGTTATTTAACAAAATAATGTTGTTTAGTCGAAAAAAAACGAACGAGAGGAAATGCAGCTCTCCCGATTTTTAATCCTAATTTAATCATCATCTTCACCACGATCATTTATGTTTATGTTCGCCGAATTGACATGAAATCACTGACAAATATGAATATTCTGTATTCAACTTCATTAAAACGATCAGGATCCCTGGGTGTTATTTTTCCCCACAATGACCAAGTCGCTGCAAATTATCCCGTTTATTACATGGCCTCATTCTCAACAAAGTAACGACATGACTCCCAATCTTAATTGAAATGCTTTTATGGATTTAGAAAATGTTTTTATTGATTTAAAAAATAGTTTTTTTTTCAATTTAAATTGACATGCATCCGCTAAGAGAAATAGTCACTAGACACTTGACACAGTGGCTTTAGGCAAAGCAGAAAAAGAAACACTCAACCGAGAGATGAGTTATTATTACAACGTGACTTCACTATTATTTAACAACTGTTTTATTGGGTTCTTTTATTTGGGGTTAAGTATAGGTGAATTGCACTAATGTGGGAAGATCGTGATGTCTCCTCCGATCTGCTTTATGATCTTCTTTCTCCCGCTGTGTAGATTGGGGAACCGCCGTCCTCTGTCTTCAATGTTCGACATCGCGTGAAACAGAGGATTTCGACATTCTGTATTCCTTGCTTACTTCCTTAAACCTTTTCTCCTCCTTATCTCTTCATGACTTTTTATTTAATGCTTTATAACAGCTGTAATAGTTCGTTTAGAAATCCTAGAAACACTTTTACGGCAGCTCTCAATTTACGGTAACTCCTTCTGACGTCATAGCTACCCACGTATAATATATAAACAAAGTCTTGGCTTTCAGAATATGAAACTTTATTTCCAAAATCACACGATAAATACATTTGTGAAGCTTGTAAAGGGAAGATGACAGGCACCTCTCACTCGCAATCTGCTCCTCCGCAGCGCCGCACCCCTCCCTCCGGCTGAAATTATGAATGTACAGTAAGGCATATAGTAATCATAGATAACACGGCAGGGTCCGTTACAGTTTGTTTTCATCTGATTTCAAATAAACAAAGTCTTGGCTTTCAGAATATTAAACTTGTTTCGGCAAATTTAGATGATAAATACAACTATGAAAGCTTGTAACGGCATAATTACAAGCGGAGAACAGAGTAATTTAACGTTACACAGCAGGCATAACACACAGCCGGTGTTTATTTTATTATTATATATAGTCGTATTCATTTGTTTTAAAGCTCAATAAGGAAGATTTAAACTTTCACACACGTTGGACCGGCGAAAAACTCTGCCCGTTCCCTCGGCCCCCACCACGTTGAATAAACAGAAGGCTGCTTTTGTGGAGGAAGTTACAGCGCTACGTACAGGCTCGGCATATGTACTGCAGCTTTTTCCAGCGGTATCCATAAATCTCTTAATTTTGACCTCAAAGTGCACCAGATTGATGCATTTAACTTCAATATAAAGAAAAACATCTTCTGTTAATAACATTATAAATAGTAACATAGCTGAACATGGTATTGCACATTTAGCTTTCAGTGTTACTGACCTGAGATGTTTTTATTACATGAATTAAGGTGACTGAGGCTTTTAACATAGACTTTTCAGTGTCCCACATACCGTTCACCATCCCCCACCCCCCTACTGTATGTTGATTTTGACTTTGTTTGCCTACATGTAAATGGGTGGCATTTAGTACCTACCCCCCTCTGAGTGAATACCTGTTGTATCACCGTAGTCCAGCTGGGACAGGAATAAGCCAGAGACCAACCTTTTACGGGATGAAATTGAAAAACAACATTTAAGTCTGTAAAGGAAGCCAAGAGTGAATTTCAATTTCTTTGTTAAAACTTCAATATGGTGTTTAAAGTTCAGATTACTGTCCAACCAAAAGCCCAGATATTTGTAGGTATCAACAAACTCAACAGAAACGCCATCAAGGGTGTCAATGGAGAGGCAAGAGGAGGACGCTGACTTGGGAGCAAAAAGCATTGCTTTGGTTTTCTTACTGTTCATAGCAGTTTGGAATCAAGAAGTGCATGCTGCAGCGTGATACAATCTGATTTTAAATTGGAAACGGCCATCTGCAGTGTGACTAAGCATGAAATTCCTAACTCAGGGTAGCCGCCTATGGTTTTGCACGCTACCTCGGCTCCTGCTGAGGTGTGGTGTCACAGCGCTGTATTTATGCTGATGTGCCATCTCCCAACGCCCCCGTGGAAAATGACCAAGAACTCAGAAAATACAGAATAACCTCGGAATGTTAGGGCTCATTCAGAAATGTACGAATGTTAAAACACAGGCAGTGAGTAGTGGGTTGTAAGGAGCAGAAGATTGGGTCAGTGTTGGCAGAGCGTCTCCCATCCCATTCAAATTCAAATTCTTGACTGAAAGAGCCTACAGTACATGTAAATAGATAGCATTGCCTATGCGCATTTGAAAATAATTAGTACCACCCCCCTCTGAGTGACTACGTGTTGAGTTCACATCACCATTCTCCCATATGCTACAAATGGCTGTCTAGCCCTGTTTGTTTTTTGACCTTTCAGATGTTGTTGTATAGCCCTCTGGCAGGGGTTAAATTGGGCCGGGGCTGTCCCGGGCTAAGCCATAGGACGATGCTCTGATGTCATCACCCTCGCACATTGTCATATGTTTACAAAAAACGATGTTAACACTTTCTCATTCTTAATATATGCTATATTAGGGTCGATATGTGTTGAATTTACTTTAAAATAGCAGATCACTGTGACCGGATATAGTTTTTTCGGCTTAGTGAACGTGTGTCTCTTCCTCCGCGGCTCCTCCGTGCAGAGAGTTTGCAGCGGTGTGTGTCAGCAACGTGCAGTCAGGGGATGCACGGATTGGCCATCGGGAGAGTCGGGACCTATCCCGGTGGGCCGCTGGCCAGCTGTGAGTTCTCGAGAATCACAGAACGGCCGGACGCCAACGGCCCGGTTCGCTTACGGCCGGCAACACCCCCCCCCCCACCCCCCGTTGACAATTCACGAGCGTCTAACAGAGCCCCCCCACATATCAAATCCCAATTTAACCCCTGGCCTCTGGAGCAGAAATGAAAGAGTTTTAAAAATGTTTACGTTTTGGTACGTTTTTAGGGAAATGTTGTAATATTGCAACGTTGGCCTTAGGTGGGAGCAGAATTATTGAACAACTAAGGGTTAATTTGCAGGATTGATTGCTTACTTAGCCCTATATCAGTATATTGCATGAATAATAATCACACATCACTCATATTTGTTATGAATAATCATTTATAATTTATTAAATAGTAAGTCGCTTTGGATAAAAGCGTCAGCTAAATGCAATTTATGAAAGCCTCACTCAGGATTATTTTACCAAGTGTTTTTATTGCTCTTGGGGCATTAAAAACAAGATTTTAACTTTAGTTTTTTATATAATATCTGCATTTTCTCTTTTCAAAAACTAAGTCTTAGTTTGGCCATAGTTATTTAATATATAAAGACTATATATTATTGAATTACAAGATTAGATATACTTTATTTGATCTAAAATATTGATGTGTTCAAATGCTCTTCTATACAAAACTGAAAGTCCATGAAAGTTGTCTTCCTGTTTTTGTGAATGAAGCACCATCTCCTGGTTAAATCCTGAAATTGAAAATCTGGCAACGCCCTCTTGGAAAATAGTGGGAGGGCTTAACATTCCCAGATACTGGTCTTTGGCAGGTCTTAGGCAGGTAACTGGCAGCTAGTAGGCAGGAAGCAGTAAGCTGGAGTCTGAAATAAGATGCTCCATCTGTATATTGATTGTTGTGCTTTTATTTAGGTTGTAATGTGTGCATATGTATACATGTGTCTGTTAATTGTGTAGGATATACATATTGGTATACATATTTTATATATATTTGTATTTTTTATTCCTCTGGATTGTGGGAAACGGTATTTCGATCTCTCTGTACACACAAACTGAAAGATTGACAATAAAGTTGACTTTTACTTGTCTCGTTCATGGTATGCACGACTTAATGTCTAATAATTATTTACAAAAGATGTCTCTATAAACACACCGTACCCGAAAAGGAGCAGGGAGAAGAAAATAATCTTATATTACCTGCCCCTTCCTCAAAGAAAATTAATAAATAGAAATCCTTCGTATTTTCTTATTCACAGCCAATCGTAACAGTATCGTATAAGAGAAACACAAAAACGTACAAAAAAATACTTAGTTCCCACTTGACGGTTAACGGAAAGAAAAACAACAAAACAAAAAAATCACATGAAGAAGGAAAAGTGCATCTGAGTCCGACTGGAGTAGTTTGACTTTGATATATTTTCTCCTCTTGTTCACAGGAAGTTAAATAAAGTTCCTGAGCGTCTGGAAGTCGACCCGAGCAAACACACAGCGGTCGATCTGAACATCGTGCGGAGCCTCAAACATCAGGAAGCTCCGCCTCCAGAAGTTGAAAAAACGCTGCTTTTCTGACGGGTTTTGGGACGCCCCCGACGTTCCCCCCCGCTGATTTAAGAATTTAATATGATGGATACCACTGATTCTGCACATTAACTGCATTTATATTCTCCTTTATGAGGTTAAAAGACTGGATCTGACGCCCCTTCTCACCTGAAGTCTGTCAAAAGTTGATTGTCAAGAAAAGTGCTATAAAAATACAATTTATTATTATTATTATAGTGATTTATTGTCGTGTAAACATTTCTTTATACACCTGAACATCAGCAGGAGAGGACTCTTTAAAGTAGAGACACTACATACTGATATACACCTGAACATCAGCAGGAGAGGACTCTTTAAAAGTAGAGAACACTACATACTGATATACACCTGAAACATCAGCAGGAGAGGACTCTTTAAAGTAGAGACACTACATACTGATATACACCTGAACATCAGCAGGAGAGGACTCTTTAAAGTAGAGACGCTACATACTGATATACACCTGAACATCAGCAGGAGAGGACTCTTTAAAGTAGAGACACTACATACTGATATACACTGTTGTAGCAAACACTGTGGATGGTGGCTTAAAGCCCACCTCCGCTACGCGCCGTTCGTTATATTTAATAAAGAAGGAATTCAAAATACCGGAATAAAGGTTATAACAATAATCTGATTTTACTGGTAAAAAACAAAACACTTATACAAGTTTACAGAGTACTCCGGACTTCCAGTTCTACCGCCGTGCAATACAGGTATCGGGACCAGCCAGTCAGAAACAGGAAGTATTTTACATGCATAAACAACAGTATTCATATACATTTTTCGGGGCGGAGATGTGTTAACTCTTCCTTCCCATTTTACTCCGAAGCGAATCAGAGAGTCCGTGGGGAGGAGCTGTGTGAGCTGCTCACTCCCCCAGGTGTTTTTACTGGTTGGATTCACTTCTGGTCGGGTCCAACACAGCGAATCAGAGTTCTGGGAAAAAAGTATGTTTCTTCTGAGATCTTCGGAAGTACACAAGGACAGAGTCAATCTTTATCTCTGCACCTGTATTCACTCTTTCCCAGACAACCAAACATTGTACACAGATATATTGATGCCCAGAAAGAACCTTGAAAAGAATATGTGTGTGTGTGTGTGCTGGTGGGAGGAGGTGTATGTGTGTGTAACAGGATCTCTGGGTCAGTGAGTTGTAAGTGAGAATACAATATGTATATATGTGATTACTTAAAACAGTTCAAACAATACATGTTCACTAAAATACAATTCAAAATAATACATGTTTACTTCAATACAGTTTAGAATCATATCTGTCATATACTTTAATCCCTCTTTTGATCTCACCTCACGAGATCAACATATAGCATTTGAAACATAACCACTGTCATTATTTTCTACTGTGTCTGTCCCAACATTTATATAAATCCATCAGAAGCTGGGATATAGAGCACTTTAAACCTTTAGGAAAAGTCCACTACAACAATTTCTTATGACAGTGGAGGGAGACCAAAATATGTTTAAAAAAGTTCGTCCTTGTCGGCTGAGTCATCGTACTCTTCCCCCTCCGACGCGTAAGCCAACAAGGGCATTTGGTACGAAGGGGAAGGGGCAGCTTTTCCCTCAATGGTGGAACTGATGAGTCTAACACACAATGAGCGGATACAAGGCACACAACAACAACCACATGTCACTAAAATGGCAATAAAAGTAGCCACAGAAATTAAAAGAGACATTATTAAACTTTTCCATTTACCAAACATGTTTGTCATCCATTCCTCCATAGGATTGTTGATCCCTGATTGTTCATGCATGGTTTTGGATAGTGTTACGAACTCAGACACTTAGGATGTAGGACCCAATTGCACGACCCGGGAGACAGAGGTAAAGTATTAGTAAGATACTTTATTTTCCAAAATACAGCAATGAACAACAAAAAAGGTAACTATCAAATCTCTAACCGAGATGACAAAAATAGAGGAACAAAAATGAAAGCGCTCACGTAGTGAGGAATCAAACTTTACAAGAGTACAAAGAGCATAGACCTGACCATAGCAAGAGACAATACGAACTGACAAAGAACACTTGGGAGACAGGGGAATATAAGCACAGGGTAACTAGACACAGGTGGACCAATCAGGGGCGGGGCTGCTGACATTGATGAGCACAGGAGACACAGGTGAAAATAATCAGAAGCCTGGAATGAGAGAAAGCAAACGTAAATAACATGCATCTCTCTAGCATTTCTGTTCGGTGCACAACAGTACCCCCCCCTCTAGGGCCAACTCCTGATGGCCCAGGCTGATTGTAAAAATCGTGGATAAGCGTCTTGTCTACGATAAATGACGCAGCTACCCAGCTTCTAGCCTCAGGACCGTAACCCTTCCAGTCTACCAGGAATTGCTTCCCCCTCCCCCTATTACGGACCTCCAGTAGCTTACAGACCTTGTAAACCTCACCCCCTTCAAAGAACTCGGGCGGTGGAGGGGGCTTGGAGGCGGGAACAAGTGTGCTCTCGCACACCGGCTTGATTTTACTGACGTGAAACGTCGGATGTACTCTCATAGTTCTGGGGAGTTGCAAGCGTACAGACAACCGGGTTGATGACTCTGGACACCGGGAAAGGACCCACAAATCTCGGAGCCAGTTTCTTTGAGGCGACATGGAGTGGTAAGTCCTTAGTGGAAAGCCAAACATTTTGGCCTGGGTCTGTAGGAGGGAGCGACCCTGCGATGGACGGCTGCAACAGCCTTCATCCGAGCCTGAACTTCGGGAGAAGAGCCTGGCGAGCACCAGCCCAAAACTCGTCGACAACGTCTGATTCATGGCATGAGCCGATGGAAACCCTCACCTCTTCCTCGTTGTAGGGAAAAATGGAGGCTGGAAACCATTGACACAATGGAATGGGAGAGAGACCTGTGGCTGCCGTAGGAAGAGTATTGTGGGCAAACTCGAACCCATGTGAGGTGGTCACTTCCAGGTAGTCTGGTTCCGGGAGACGAAGACAACGTAGCGTAGTCTCTTAGTTCCTGGTTCAGACGCTCGACTGTCCATTTGACTGAGGATGATATCCTGATGACAAGCTGACGGTGGCACCTATGAGTCGACAAAAACTCCTTCCAGAAAACGGAAATGAAATTGTGGACCCCTGTCGGAAACAATGTCATCAGGGAATCCATGGATCCTGAATATGTGATTCATCATGACCTCTGCGGTGACTTTGGCCAGAGGGAAGCTTGGTCAATGGGATGAAGTGAGCCATCTTTGAAAAAATCGATCCACCACTGTTAGGACCGTAGTCTTGCCTCTGGATGAAGGAAATCCTGTCACAAAATCCATTGAAATGTGTGACCAAGGACGTTGGGGAATCGGCCAGGGGGCTGGAGCAAGCCCATCTTGACTTGTGATGAGGTCTTATTACACGCACACACCGGACAAGCCGCTACGTACTCTGCCACATCTTGCTTCATGGCTGGCCACCAGAAACGTTGTTGTATCCTGAACATTGTCCTTGTTACCCCCCGGATGGCACGAAAGCACAGATGAGTGAGCCCAGTGGATGACCTTGGAGTGAAGAGCCTCAGGAACAAACAGGCAGATTGTTGGGACACTCGCTAGGTGCTGGATTTCTTGACATTCGCCTTTTTTACGTCCGACTCCACTTGCCAGGAAAAGGCTCCGATCACACGGGTTAAGTGGAAGGATGGTCTTGGGCTCTACCGCAAGTGGTTCCGGATCATAAAGACGAGACAAAGCATCGGGTTTTTGATTCTGAGACCCGGGACGAAAAGAGAGGGTGAAATTGAACCTACTAAAGAATAGTGTCCACCTGGCCTGAACGGGAGTTGAGACGCTTAGCCTTTCTTATATATTCCAGATTCTTGTGATCTGTCCAGGACTAAAAACGGCTGCTCTGCACCCTCTAACCAGTGTCTCCATTCCTCGAGGGCAGCTTTTACAGCTAACAGTTCCTTTTCCCCACGTCGTAATTCCGCTCTGCCGTTGTCAGTTTCCGCGACAGGTAAGCACATGGATGCATCTTGTTGTCTTCTGCAGAACGTTGAGACAGTACTGTCTCCAATTCCCTCATTGGAAGCATCAACCTCGACCATAAACTGGCGCTGGGGATCTGGAATGGTGAGTATGGGGGCTGATGTGAATCTCTCTCTGAGACGTTGGAAAGCGAAGTCCGCCTGGGGAGTCCACTTGAAAGGAACCTTAGGAGAAGTCAGAACATGTAGAGGGGCAGCAACAGAACTGAAATTCCTAATAAACTTCCTATAGAAGTTAGCAAACCCTAGAAACTGTTGGACCTTCTTCCTGGAGTCTGGTGTAGGCCACTGGGATACTGCACTGATTTTAGCCGGATCCATTTGCATATGATTAGGTGAGGATTATGTATCCTAAGAAGGATACCTCTTTTGTGTGGAACTCACACTTCTCTGCCTTGACATATAACTGATTCTCTAGCAGTTTCTGCAAAACCTGACGGACATGGTTAACATGAGACTTAGTGTCTGGGGAGAAAATCAGAATATCATCCAGATACACAAACACTGAAATATTCAAAAATTCCCGTAAAACCTCATTCACAAGAGCTTGAAACACAGCCGGTGCATTGCATAGTCCAAAGGGCATTACTAGATACTCATAGTGACCACTCTGAGTGTTGAATCCTGTCTTCCACTCATCCCCTTTTCTTATTCTAACCAAGTGATATGCATTTCTTAAATCTAACTTGGTGAATATTTTGGCAGTTTGAAGTAGTTCAAAGGCAGATGTCATGAGTGGCAGAGGATAGCGGTTCTTCACCGTAATGTCATTTAGTGGACTGTAGTCTATGCAAGGTCTCAGAGACCCGTCTTTCTTTCCCACAAAGAAAAATCCCGCTCCGGCTGGAGAAGATGAAGGACGGATAATTCCTGATTTGAGTGAAGAGGAAATGTATTCGTCCATTGCTGCTCTCTCAGGTCTCGAAATCGAATAAAGTTTCCCCTTGGGAATGGGGGCTCCCGGTAAGAGATCAATGGGACAGTCAAAATCTCGGTGAGGAGGTAGCGACATGGCTTTGGATTTGTTAAAGGCTTCCTTTAAATCATGGTAACAGGAAGGTACCTTCTGTAGATCAGGATAGTCGGGGTGATCTATAATGATTTACGAGAGTCTGTTGGTGCATTAACAGGTTGTGAAAGTTACACCTGCCCATACAATCCTCTCCCCATTCCTTAATTTTCCCTGAA